AGGTTACACCTTTTCATGGGGTTACACCTCTTCATGAGGGGGTTACACATCTTCATGAGGTTGCACCTCTTCATGAGAGAGCAATTTCTCTCATTATAAAAAGGGGAGGGGTGGAGGTCTCCATATACACGATAACACACACAAGAAAGGTGTGAGAGTTCATATTGAGAGATAGAGAAAAAATATGAGAGAGTACAATCCCCCTCCCATTTGAGATCTAAGTAGAGATCCGGCCCTGAGTGATGAAGAGTTGTGCGTGAGAGTCGAGTTTGGACTGCTCCTATCGGATCTGTTAGAGTGTTCGTGAGTTTCCACCTCGCTCGGGATTTACGGTGTGGAATTGATTTCGACAACTCTAGTAGTTGTCGAACGTGCCTACGTGAGTTAATCATTCATCTCCACATTTGTTCATCAAAATTGTTGTACAACCACTCAGGTATGATACTCGATTTCTGGTTATTTTATTTTGCTTCTGCTTCGGCCGTTGGACCGTATTTTTTCCAATACTTTCTAATCTCTACACTCGTTATAAATTAATAAAAGGGCATGATTGAAAATAGTGAGAAAAGATATGGGGACTGTGGCCTCGCTAAAGGCATGGCCCTTGATAGAGCAGAATGGCGAACATGATTTATGTAGCCGAGCCCAAATAGTTGAAAAAAGACTATGATGATAATGCATCATAAGATTGAATAGTGACCATCCAATTTTTAGATCGTCAAATAAGTACTAAGAAATTTAAAATCTAATAGCTTTCTATGAAAATGGATACAACATTTTATATTGAATTAGTGTCCCTAATTAAGTCTTTTACTCGAGAGAACAAATGAACATTTGCTCCAGACCATTGGAGTGGCACAAAGGTATTTTTTTCTTCTTGACAATATTACCGAGTGTTATTTAAGAACAAGGGATTACAAAAAATAAAAATAAAAAAGAGTCATAATAACAAAAAAAAACATGCTTTTTGATTAATCCATCAGCCACATCATTAGCTTCTCTATAAACACGTCTAAAATAGACCTCCATAAAGCTACAAATGGCCATGATGTGCAACCAAATCAATATCAAGTGTCAGAGTGATCTATACTCCTGATAATATTAAGTGCATGCCCCTCCACTATACAAAAACCTCCAAAACGGCTATCATGTAAGACTTTTAAGTGCCTATATAAGAGCATTTAACTCTGTCTGATTTGCCGTAGTAACACCGCATGGATCGGAATTAGATAATACCACCACACCATTAGAATTTCCAACCACTCCACCTATTCCTAATGGTCTTGGGTTCCCTAATGAACTTTCATCAAAATTTAGTTTAACTCATCATGGCATTGAAGCAGTCCACATCCCTTTAGGCCTAAGCTTTCGGGTGCATTGGTTGACAAGGTTCACAAAATCAAACGTGAGACAACCACTTCCAAGACATCCAACCCCTCTTTAGAAACCGACCAATGCCGTAAAGTATGTAATATTTTATTTTTTATTTGCATTCAAACAATCTCAACAAAGGTTCTTCTATTCCTTTCTTTATGATTCTCCAACAACAAGGCTATACGAAAAACTTTCCAAATTGCCTTCCCAATTTTTGGCAATCCTGGCAAGTTTAAGTGCTCTACAATGTCCTTGTGACGTCTCGGTATTATCAAAGGAATCCTAATCTTTTGAAAAGCCCATTCCCAAAAATAATATGTAAAGGGATTGTATACAATGAGGCCATTTACCTTTGGTACAAAAAAGTCACAATTACTTACAACCATCTGATGTGAAATCTGATAGCTTGTGTGAGTCACAAAGTTCGAGAAAATTTCTTTTGAACTTTGAGCTTGGTCAATGAAATAAATGCAGCCACCCAATTTCACATCCAATGATCAAAACTAATTGTAATCATCTTGTACTAAAGGCAAATATAAGAACAAGTGATTATCACATTCTTATCTTTGTCACACATCAAACAACTTTTAACCATAAACTCTTCCTCTCTTGTGTAGATTATCTACATTGAAAATCTTACCTTGCATAGCAATCCACATGAAGGCTTGTAACTCGTGGGGAATAGGCCATTTCTTAATCTTATTAAGCATTTGCTGCATCCACCTTATGGTCATGAACTAATAATCAATATGTTGACTTAACCAAGAAAAGACCATCATTTTCATTCTCCCAAACAATCTCATCTCCAGCATCCTATGGTAGGTAAACAAGCTCAAATCCATCAACACCTCAGTTGGTTGTGTGATCAACATGTCAAGAACCCTGTTATAAGAACACTTAGTACTCCAGAACCAACTTGAGCCATGACACTCATACATCTCATTAACCTTAGCCAAAAGATGAGTGACCTTCACAAAAGGTTCAGAATGACACACCCTCAAAGGTCTATCCCATAACCATTTATGATTCTAAAACTTCACCTTGTTCCCCCTTCCAACCAACCACCAAATGTTCCTTTCGGCAATTGATTGTAGTAAAGAATACCTCTCGGCAATCAATTGTAGTAAAGAATACCTCTTTAAAACTGTGATTGATGGGATGCACCTCTACCTCTACTTTTCAATTCAAAATTTAAATCTAGGCCATAGTTAGCCACAAGCACCTGACCTTGTAAAGAACTCCATCATCATTTTGCTTGGTCACAATCTTCAGCTTCTTAATACTAAAGCCCCCTTTTTAAGGAGTACAAACTTTGTCCCAACTAGTAAAGTGTTACTTTCTTTCATTACAACGAGATCCCTAAAGAAAGTTCCTCATCATCGGCTCAATGTCTTTGAGAATAGAACTAGGCATATATAAAAGAGACAATAGGAAGATTAGCCATGAAGATTTAATCAACGTTATACAACCCCCTAAGTATAAAACTTAGTCAAGCTTAACCTGAAATCTCTGAATAACGGGATCCCATGCAGCTCTGGTTAAAGCTAGAATCCAAGATAGGAAGTCCAAGATATTTAATAGGAAACTATTCACAATTCAGCCAACATGAGACACTAGTGTAGACACTCTCCCCCAACCAACAATGTTTTTCTAAAATTTATCTTTAGTCTCAAAACCATCTCACAACACCTCAAGAATATTCTAATATTGAGAACATGACCCATCCTAACATCACAAAAAATCTGAATGCCGTCTGCATATTACAAATGCGAGATACATGGGTCATTGTTGGAGACCCTAAAGTCATAAACCCGTCCCATCCACATTTCTTAACATCGTACCAAAATCCTCAGCCATAAAAGCAAACAAATAAGGAAAACAAGGGTGACCTTGTTTAATGTCTCTGGTTGCTTTAAAGAATCATTTTGGACTTCTATTAATCACATAAAAGATAGCACTTGATAAGTATTTATAAATCGGACCTCTTCCACCTTTCCTTAGATAGCACTTGATAAGTATTTATAAATCAGGCCTCTTCCACCTTTCCTCAAAGCCCATACGCACCATAATTTCTTGCAAAATATATTTATCGTAAGCTTTCTTCATATCCAACTTTAACAAAATTTCCAGTTCGACGCTCAATATTCTAGAGTAGATTGACTCTTGTGCAATGAAGACACCATCTATAATCAATCTATTACGGATAAAAGCCAATTGAGGGCCCGAAATAACCAAGGGAAGCACCCACTTTAGTCTCTCAACTAGGACTTTAGAAATAATCTTATAGAGACTAATAGGCAAACTAAGAGTGGTACTACGGTAATTGTAGGTGTAATAAAATGAGTGCTCCTAAATCGGAGTTGAATCCATGGTTTCATGTGAAATTATTTAGGCATCCTCATTGCTTACTGTTTTGGGCAATCACGAACATATATTAAAGAAAAAGGAAAAATAGATATCTCTTATTTCGGTGCAATGGCATTTGGACAATGTTTTATGGGCAAACAGGGTGGGTTAAAAAAACAGGCTCACTATGAATAATGGCACACCAAACTGAAATACTAGTGCAAACTAAACAATGCTATCTCTAACATTCCATCTGCACAAACAGGGCATTAAGCATCCAAATTATTCCGAAATCATTTTGCAGATCCCATTTTATGTTTGACGTCATACATGAACATCTAAAAAGATGTATCTATGAATTCAACAAGAAATATCCAGGAGCAACTATCTAAATCCTAATGGTTTGTCTACATATTCATCTGCAAAAGGTGACTCAAAGTCTAAGATCTGGGTCGTGAAGCACAATGGATGGACAAGTAGTGAATATTCCTATGCGTCTTTGATATTTGCAAGAGGCATGTTTTCAAAAATATTGTAGCACTTCTCCATTTGATTATGGGTGGAGCTTTAGCTTCTATGGTACCCTGTGGCACCAAAAATAACGATCAATATAGGAATTGGCAGCTTTAGTTTCTTGGAAGACACAGGCTTACAAAGCCATTTCTTCCAAGAGTCAAAGGAGTCCTTGCCAAGAGCACCTATGAACAAAAAAATCAATTAAAAGGTGTACCACCTAGTTTTAATTTAACTAGCACTAATCCTGCTTGTGGTCAAAACCATCTCCCCATGAGCCCATTTATATTTGTTATAAAGAGGTCACAGTGATTTGGATGTAAGATTGAATGGCTTGAAGTGCATTACAAAATTCGATAAAAAAACTTTTTAATTTTGAGCTTAGTCAATAACACATTTAAAATCACCCCATTTGAAATATGACAAACAAAGGTAATTAAGACCTCCTAGTATAGAAAGTCGATGGTCACTTTTTATACTTTTGCTTTTCCCAATGAGATGGCTACTTGCTACATTTTTCAAATATTAAGTATGGTTAAAAAGTGGACATAAACAAACACGTTGCAGAATGGTTCCCACACTGCTGTGACAATAATAATAAACATGTTCACTGGTCCATTCAAATGGGCCTAAGAATCATACTATTTGAAACCAAAAGACCCACACGTATACGAAATAGAAACCAAACATTAAGTTATCTTCTCACAATAAAATAAAATAAAATAGAAACCAAACATTTTCAGGATGTCCATCACTTAAAACTACAATTGTAACCATCCAAAGAGATTCCGTAAAATTATGTTAAGCATTAATGCCGATGCACCACCTCAAGTTTGTAGACCACATCTTAATATACCTTTTTGTCCATAGCAGTACAAATGAGATCACCATACTAGCAAAATAGACTTCCTGTAACTGAAACAAGAAAACCCACCTATTTCACTACATAGTAACAAGTGATTCAAAAATTATCATAGGCCCTCATGGCCAGATACATGAGGCTCCTTATTTTAGAATATCCCCATGCATTAAGACTTGAGACCTCCGAAACTTAAAACATAACAAAAAACCAAAACTAAGAAGAAGACAGACAGCAAGTAAAATTTTTATCGATACTCTATAGTGGTTCCAACCTTTGTAAGGAAATACTCGGATTCAATCATCATTGGCCTTCGGGGAATTCTCGGGGGTCTTCAAAACTGCAGTTTGTTTACCTTTGTGAGCAGTCACAGCTCCTCTAAACTCCTCCACCAAATAACTGTCCTTGAACTTTAAGGCAAATGTAGAGAGAGAAAGCCCATCCTTCCTTTCACTTGCACTATTCACACAGGCAAACGTGATGCCCTTTTTATCCATATTGGTGAGCTTCATGTCGGGATAAAGATTTGAGTTCAATATCAGTCTATAATTGCCTCTAGCTCTCATCACAAGCCTCGCCCTCCCACTGTCGGTTGTCGAAACATTCAGTTTGAGTTCACCCTTTCCTCTCTCTTTCCAGCCTCCTTCCAAATATTCAAATAATACTGCATCAGCAGTGAAAACAGATTTCTCGTTCTCTTCGCCAGTTTCCAAAGGAACCTCAGGCATGGGTGTCAAAGAACTGCCACTAGATTTAGTCACATCATTTGAACCAGTCGAAGAAGCAAAGAGTTGATGAGAAGAACTTCCATTTTTGGTGTTCTTATCATTGTTTGACCCAAACAGGGGCCCTGCGGCCAAACCAAAGCCCCCAAATGTAGAAGCCCCTGACCCGAATGAACCCTCTATTGGGATGGTTCCAAAAGAAAATGAAGAGCTCGAAAACCCAGTTCCACTAAGCCCCGTAAAGGCATTCTGGCCACTAGAAAGCTGCTGAAATGAACTGAAAGGAGCAGCTGCCGCTGTTGAAGCTCCATTGCCGTCCCCTTCACCAGTTTTCTCCTCACTTCTCTTTTTAGCCTCCTCCTCATCTTTCTTTGTTTCATCCGAGTCAGTGGTCTCCTTCACAGAGTCCACCTTATCAGTGGCTTCCGATGCTTCTTTTGGCACATCAGTGTCACCTTTAGACTCGTCCCCGCCTTCTTTTTTGCCATTTGGTTCATTTATGGAAGCATCGGTGGCTTCTCCACTCAGCTCAGTTGATTTTTTCTCTATTCCTTCCTTATTCTCCTTAGATTCGGCCACAACAGAAGACCCAACTTTCACTTTTGAAGTGTATGCATCAGCAGCCTCTTGAGACACAACAGTGGTTTCGGTCAGACTTGTGGAAGGCTCGGCCTCATTATCAACGGGAGGGATTGAAGGGGGAACCAAGCGAACACTTGCAAAAGGATTGGAGGAAGCAGTTGAAGTAGGAGGTGGGTTTCGGCGCACTTTGACCATCCTTCGAGAGGCCAATACTTCCTCACTTGCTTTTTGAAAGGTCCCACTCTCTTCATCGGGAGCATCGTCTTCATCATCACGATCTGGGTTATCACGTGAAAGCTCCCTACCCGCAACCCTCTTTTTGGAAGGAGGAAGGGCATTTTCGGAATCCCTCATCGTAACTAATGAAGAGAGAGAGTGCAAGGAAACTCTTTAACCCCCTTTTCCTTTTTGGCACAGTATCCAACTATCAGTGAATGGTGGACTAACTGCAAGGCAAGCAATTATTGATTCATACAAGAATTTATTTGTTAGTACCTTCTGCATGATACATGTGCCATGGAAAGGTCACAATAAAATTGACTTCTTATATAAGGAAAGCATACTGCAATTCAATGATACATGGAAATTCATAGTCCCCCGGAGTCATCACCATGCATTGAAATGGTGAATGGTTGTGGAAAGAGTAGAACCCACCATTTAGCTCATGTCCTGTTATGGAGGGGCCCCAATCCCCATCACCGACCATCATTTCATTGGACTGTTCTGACACCAAGAGACTATTGCTTTCCAGAGTACATTAGATCACAATTTGCCTCCCCTTTGGTATAAGGAAAGGACAAGAAACAAATGTCTATCCAAAATACCATAACACACAAATCAATTCAAGTCTGAAAATGTTCACAGGAAAAATCCAATTGTGCAAACAAGACTTTTATAATTCATCTATATCACTTGGAACCAAGCAGATTGAATCAAAATTATCATAAGTTTCCCCAAACTACTGCAGGAAGAACGGCAAAATATAAATAAATTCACAAGAAGCTACTGCAGCAGAGATACAAAGGATACAGCATAACACCATGAAATTTTCAGGAAGCACCAGCAGCATATGTAGATTATTTTCTACTAAAAGAAACCTAAAACATTTATGTATGACATTTCTTACACATGCATTCTTTCTTCTTTTTTTTAAGAAATACCTACATGTATAAAAGTTAACACATTCAAAAAAAGAAATACCTACATGTACAATCACCTTAGTATATTTATGGATGTATGTACATGTACAGCTAAATAAGTAGAGAGGATAAATAGAAGAGGGAAAGGAAAAATATCAACCATAAAAAGGTGCATTTAGGTTCACAGTCAACAGGTTGTTTGCCTGTCAACCTGTCCCACAGAGAGGATGCCAATGGAGGATGAATGAAATTTCATGCAAAAGCATGATGCGAAGAGTAGAATTTACAAACAAAATTAAAATTACTGAACTTTGGTCATGGTAGCATATGTAGAATTCAATGTCTCCACTAAGGCAGAAGATATCATTTAATTCACCTATTGAACGTTTTGGAATGGATATTCAGAGCATTGAGCGAAATTGTTGGAACGCGTACTTTTCACTAGCAGGTCCCTTCTATGGGAGATCATACAGGGGTCTTTTGGATGGCACAAGGATCATCATCTCCACCTAAAAAATGTGATGCAAAGGTGTAGACAACGCCACTGAATTTTAGCTAAGAGATTCCCTGAAACCTGCAACTCGAACAATAATTTGTCCAAATACAGTCAGACCAATCTTGAGTTATCCAGACTTATCCAGAACAGTAGAATACGACACAGATCACAACCACCAAAACTGATACAAATTCAATTAGCCTGCACCAGACTGGACCATAGACCCTTTGACATCATCCGGAGCAGGATCTAGACCAGCGTCGTGGTAGGCCCAATCGGCCCAGTGACGCATAATGCGTCACTGTCTGCTCTGGCTTCCGGATTTTTCCGGAAATGCAGTGACGCAATTTAGGGCTCTTATGTTGATTGTTTAGGTCTTTCTGGATCTGTTTTGAGGGCATATTTAACCTGTATAGAAGCCTTGGAATTCTAATCTAGCATTAGAAATCCTAGACGACCCAGAACTTCTAGAAACCCTAGAACTCCTACTCCTATTCCTAATAGACCTAGAGTTCATTGAAGCCTATAGATTCCTTAGTACCCAAACCTTAAAGGGCATATATCAATTCAATCCTTCATTCAGCTACTCAGACCCTTAGGCTAGAAAAACTATTTGCATCTACATGAAACCCCAAACCCAGAAAGCAATCAAAACCCCAGGAAGAACATGCCTTAGGTAAAACCTCCTTTCAAAAAGCTTCTCATAACCTCCTTTCAAAAAGCTTCTAATATTTAAGCAAATCTCTTGAGGGTTGAAAACGCTTCAACTGCTAGTCTAATCCAGGCCACCAACTCTAAGTGTTGCGCCTAGGGGACCGGCTTCCAAGTAAGTAGTTCTTTATTTCTCTTTAATTTTCAGATTATTTTCTTTCTACTTGTTTTCATTTAGTTTTCCGTGTATCTTTTCTTAGTTTTTATGCAATCTCAAGCCGCTTATACGTTGTAATTCAACGGACCCCAGTCTTTTCCACCGAGTTCTAATTGATTTAGTTTGAAGCATAAATCATAGAGGATTTCATTTGAATCTTCTCGGATTTGGCTATAAAAAAATTAGGTATCTCCAAGAATATGATATTACTTTTCCTTGTCTTAATTAAATCGCTTTATAAGCTAAGCATTTAAGAAATCAAGGCCACATCTTTCCCAGAATGTCGCACTGGCATAAACTGGATGAAGTTCGCATCAGTAGTTCCAAGGCCTTGGATTGTTGCATATAAGCAATGATGTGGGCTTCTTGCCTCCTAACTTCAGGATTTGATACCAGAATTTGTGTGTTTCACAATACTGGCACAAACATTACCCAATAGAAAATACACACTTCAAAGGTAAGGAGGTAGCATGAAGATGATCATTTGGACCATGAAATTAGTTGTTATGGAAAAATCATACATTCCATTTCATTTTTTTAGGAGCCACAAACCAAACCAATTCAGTTTCTAAGGACCGCATTGTAATTGATAACCAGCATCTAGCTAATAGCATAAGAGAGAAGCTCTGAAAAGCAATGTGCTTCAGAATTTAAGGGGCAATCCAGGTTTGTTTACTCCATTATGCGACTCTGCATTACTAGTATGCAATAGAGGAGAATCATAACACAATTGAGAAGACTACAAAATTATGAGAGTCAATGATTGAGGGAAATTTGATGCCAGTTGGCGGCTCAAGAGAGAGACCATTTACTTCAAGGGAAGGATACTATTTTGAAGAGCGAGCACACATCTTTGAAATACACAAAAAAACAAATCACAAACAACCCAGGGTACTTTCAATGTTTCCAGAAGGTACTAACTACTTATTATTCTTAATATAGATTTGCTTCAAGAAGTTCATGACAGTGGGATCCAACATGAGTCACTGGTCAGTTATCAGAATTGCATCCAAGAAACCAGAAAAGGGAACATGTAAAAACTCCCAAAAAACAAGACGAATTCATCACCTGAACAAAACACAAATATCATCAGGAAGAACAAAACAAATAGAATTGTAAATATTAATGCACAGTAGACAAAACTCTCATTTACTAGCTGGGACTGGCTTTGATGATGATGAAAAAACTCTCATTTCCATGCAATTTTGCTTAAACTTTAACTATTTGTACAGTACAGCCTCTATAATTTAATATAGTTAAACCAATCTCTAGCTATTCATTTGTAGGTTATTTTATTGTTTCTTATTTGGAAAAAAATAAATGTTGCTAACTTAGATAAGTTACTACCAACAAATTTATAAAGGCATCAAATTGTAAATTATTAAGTAATTTAGGTTCCCAAATTAATGACGTTTAGGTTTTAAGTATAAGGAGAAAATGGTACCAACATATTATCAGCATCAAAGCCTTTTCCCAACAAATAGGGGTTGGATACATGAATCCCGATCCGCCATTCTGCTCTATTAAGGGCCATACCCTCAATGAAGCCATTAAGGGCCATACCAATACATCACCACTTCAAATTTGTTAGGTGACTAATAGAACATGAACAGAGGTAATTTGAAATGAAGGGCAAGAAGAAATGAACCCCAAGAAAATTGAATATGACGACAAACAGCTCCCAAACTAAAATCCAGCGAAGCAATCGATATCCTTACTTTGAGTAGACATTTCATTTTGAAGCAAGGAAACAACCAAGAGAAAATATTAAACAGATTCATTCAGAAAGTTTTTCTAGGCATCAAACATAAGGGTGTTGGTATAAAATATCCATATAAAATGTGGACAGTATTGGAAAACTCATTGCGATTGGAATAAATATTAATAATTCTATGATATCAACTAGCTGTTAAATTTGTTAAATTGCAAGATATCGAACTAAAGCTAAAGGACAGGACAACAAATTTTCCAACAAAAAGGTTTTACCAATTTAATTTATCTTAGGAGGGGCAAAAAAGTATAGAAATTTTTTTTTTTATCCTATCCTCCCATAAAGTGAAAGGAAAATAATGAAGCAATACATTGTTTCTCATACTAATAGAGAAAGTAACTTATACATTTCAACTCCATTAAAATATCCATTGTTAGGATTATGAACTCAATTGTTTGGATTTTGGAATTATGAGAGTCGGGATATGTTAGATGAGGAACCAGATAAGATACTATAGATAAAAACTTCACAAAAGTGGGCAACTATCAATGGAAATAAAAGGCAAAATAAACTAAGTGAATAAGGCCCTTTTGAACAAAATCGGTTCTAAGAAGGTTACAACAAAATAAGAGAGAACAAGGAACCTGTGAGAAGAGAGACGTAGAAAATTCAACACCAGTACAGTCAAAACTGTGGGAGTCTACAGGGTGTTATCGGTTGACGATATACTGTGAGGCGGTCTCTTTCATAAGATCAAACAAGAAGCAAGCGGTAGATAATACAAGACTTGAGTGCCTTATCATCTCCTGAGAATAGGAGGCCGGATTCCAAGTGGCAAACTGGTAGCCACTCCTAAACCGGCTTCAGATATTTATACTCTTGCTTTTGATGGCACAGAGAAACCTATTCCTTTTCAGTTTGACATGTGTGATGTGGCTGTCATTCAGAATCCCCAAAACCATATGACAATGCTAGAACTTCAGATGAAAAGATGACTGGGCAGATTAAAAATGATGAAAAAGCTTCAAATTGTGAAGGAAGAGATAAAAGTTTCCTTTTGGATATCTATTAGAAAAGATGACTGGGCAGATTAAAAATGATGAAAAAGCTTCAAATTGTGAAGGAAGAGATAAAAGTTTCCTTTTGGATATCTATTAGACATTTGGGAGTGGAACCTGTTTTCCCAGACACAGCAAATCTTGCTAAAATGGAAACAACTATGAACTACCCCAAGTAAAATAAATAAAAGATTCAAGCTAAGGAAAATTTCGAGCATAAGTCTCAATTGAAGCATAGAAAAATTGAAGAAACCAATAAATACAGATTTCTGAAAATTTTGGGCATGAATGATGCCAATGATAGAACTGACAGATTTCTAAAAAAATTTGTGCATGAATGCCAATGATAGAACTTAATAAAAAAATTAATCAGAAAACAGATTCTGTAAATTTATTGTTACAGGTAAAGAAGGTAGTTCCTTGTCCAGATTTGGAAATTAAACCCTACGAGAACTAAGCCTTGGAAATTAAACCCTACGGAAACTAAGCCTTGAAAGTAGTGTCAAAGTACATTACATTCCCAGTCTGCAATAGTTTTAATGGAGCTTTCAATGGCTTCATGAAATTGAAAACATTTGCCAAAGAGAGAGAGAGAGAACAAAAAAAACCAATCTGACTCCACCCCAACCCAAACAAAAACAAAAAAAGAAAAGAACCAAACTGACCCTAAATTATCCTGTTCTTTTTTCCTGACCCAAAAAAAATGAAGGTAACAAATCATCAACTTCATCCACATGATCACCAACTCAAGAAAGAGGAAATCTCATCAAAAGTAGTAGAGTTTCAGATTCCATACATGAGAAGGCTATTATGGGCTTCTTTTGCAAACTTTATACAAGCAAGAGAAGACAGTTGCCTGGCCACTTACGGGCTCAGCTTCAAATGCATTTGTAGGACATGCAGACAGACTTCTGAGATCTGAGAGAGCACATGCATACAATCTCACAAGAATATTTGATATAAGACTATGCCATCTTTCCAATTCACAGAATTCAGATTCAGGAGTTAAATGTCATTCTACAGCTTTCTTTCAAGACTTTTAGAACAGAGGGAATACGTGACTGTCTAGGAATTCCATCTGAGAGGTGCATTTTATCATGTGTTAGTTCTGCTTTTATTACTTTTACTGGGTATCAAGGTACTCAGAACCATTGGCATACTCAGATCCAAAACAAATGCTCGATATTCCACATGGAAAAGAAAATAACACCTCGCAATATGTACACAATGCATGAAAGTAGGCACCTTGTCAATGTCAGACATCGGTATGGTCAAATGGATTCGTCATGCCAAGAAAATGAGAATTCAGTGATATGGCTATATCATGAAGCGACAACCAAATCAACAATGTTTTATTAATACACCATTTCGTGTAAGAAAAATTCAATTGCACCTTAGTTGGCTGAATCCATATATATTTTCAAGGTTCTACAGATATTTCCATAGTTCATGGGTCTACTCAATAAAAAGAAACGATGAAGTCTCTAAAGTGATGTAACCAATGGTTAGTAAACAAGAAAATTCAGAAAAATATGTGCTGGTATGGGTGTCAATATGCTTCTGACAGAGGTACTGCACCAAACAAAAGAATCCATGCAACATAGATACACACATAAACTGCCAGGCCCCCACCCTTTTGCCCTAAATCACTTTTGTCCATGGAAAACAAAAATAGACGAAAATTTTATCTAGGCAGTTGTAAGAAATCTTTTGATGTGTTTCATGTCCTTCTACTGTATTCCAACTGGGGTAGCCTCATACTGGACAGGATACATAAATTTGTTTGCCAAGCTAACACAACAAAAGAGAACTCCGTTTGATGAGATTGAAAGAGTTTTCTACAGCAATAAAGTGTGATGGCATGGGCATTAGAAGAATCACCAGTGATGAATATGGTCCTTTTAGGTAAGCAGCACACACTCGAACCGATCAAATATTCATAGCATAAAGTTATCTGAAAGTTGGAGGATTCTTCATGGTAGGGCTTTGGGATTTTAACAGGTATAACAACATTTGAAGGGTCAAGAGGGTATTTTCTATGGCATTTAGGAAAGAAACAACCAAGCCTTTAATTTCCTCAAAAAGAGAAACAACCAAGCCTTTAATGGTGTTTCTTGCGAAAATGAAGCTATCTACTAGAAGATTCTTGACACCTTGATCTCTTGGGGCCTTAGACTTCAAGCGTTCCCACGGATCATGACTGTGGACATTTCAAAATAGAATAGCAGTGAAGAACATGTGCTCAAGTGTTCCCATCCTTCTACAATTGATCTCCTCCCTCGCAAAATCCCCTGAACCTGAGCTTCAATAGCAATGACACTGGATATTCTCGGCATTAGTTGGTAAGAAGCATTGTGAGGGATTGTCATGGGACAACCATGTGGACTTCTCAATACCCTCATAGAGGCCAGTTTGTTAAATCTCACAATTTACAAAATTTCACTCGTTTTAAATTCCAAAAGTGATCATATAGTCACTTTTGTCTTGTCATAACATAGCACTTTGATCATTTGCAGAGGTGGTTCATGAGAAAGGAACACTGGGAGAATAGATTTCACCTAGTTCAAGGGATGGAGCTTTGCCAGTCCAAGGAGCATAAATCAGAAGTACTGACACACATATTTTGAAAGAAGTATTCTTATCCAAATAGATAAGGAGATTAGAAGGGGTTGAGTTAGTACATAATGAAAATGTGGACCACTTTGATATAACAAATTTTTTTAAAAAAAATGAGTTATAAGAAAGATGTATATGCATTTAGAACAAACTACAGAGTCTTCCTTGACAATTTGATTCACAAGTCCATCCAAGGTCTCCCACTTTCCTATAATTAGTCAATCAAAATAAATTAAAAAAAGAAATCTAACAATAGATCATTTTCAATAGTGTTCATTATTCTAACCAACATATATATCTCATGTAGTGACGAGCAAGAGCCAAAGCATCATACATTCGTCCAGTGCAAATATAGTTGATCTACATGGTGAAGAATATTGCAAAATTTCTAATTTTGCATTTCTCCTGAATCTTTTTCTTTTCTTTTTTTTTTTGGCAGAGACAGCAAGGATTGAATAACACAGAGGTAGAGGCCGCTCCGTGGAGATACTATTTCCAATCAAATATAGCAAAAGGTTGGAATAAATGCAGATTTGGTGGGGGTTTTGCTCTTGACATTGAGCTTTGAAGGCCTAGAAATTATTTAGGGTGATTCTCTTAATATCACTAGAAGTCTAATGAGGGGTTCCGCCATCACATGAATATTAGGGGGAATTTTGCAGTATTTGAGGGATTACTATTAAAATTTACGTTCTCCATTGATTCTTGAAAAACAATTAACCCAACTAATATAACAGTGGAGAAAGAAAACAGTTTAGGTACAATCCATTCACAAAATTTATCAAACTTCCATCCACTTCAAAGGGAAAAATGCCTCTGTTGCTATAACCAATAAAATGACTCCTTACCACAAAATCACAGAAAGAAAGCAAGCATTTTATTTTTTTTCCAATAAGTCACAGAAGGAAAGCAAGGTATTAGTGTAATAGCCCAACTCCCCATCTTTAAGCAAGAATAGGATTTTATTTTTTTTCCAATAAGTCACAGAAGGAAAGCAAGCTATTAGTGTAATAGCCCCACTCCCCATCTTTAAGCAAGAATAGGAAAAATATTAATTCCCTTTGCACACCAAATTATTCTGAGAAACCTGCCAAATTTCATTAGATTCAAACAACATTATCTCCTATGCCATAATATCAGAACCAGCATCCCCCTCTCTCTCTCTCTCTCTCTCTCTCTCTCTCTCTCTCTCTCTCTCTCTCTCTCTCTCTACTCTACTACTACTACTACACTACTACACTAACTACTACACACTACACTACGTACTCTCTCTCTCTCTCTCTCTCTCTCTCTCTCTCTCTCTCTCTCTCTCTCTCTCTGCTTAACAATCATCCCACGAAAATCAACACAAAGAAAGCTCTCTCTGCTTAACAATCATCCCACGAAAATCAACACAGAGAAAGCTCAATCTGGAAACAAAAACGTACTATCAACCATTCAGTGTCAAGAAAACAATCAAAACATCTCAGAGTAGAAAAAAAAAAAGAAACCTAGAAAACTTACCCTAGAAAAGAGGGACGAGTGGAAAGAGGCAGATATCCTTGACGCTTGAACTCGAACTAGGTCTTCCTGGCTCTGATATAGTAATATCAGGCTCTCTTGTCTTGAGAACCTCTGCAAAATGAAACACTCTCAAAATGTTGTGATTATGCACGGAAAGCGTCCACACAGAGAGGGGAAGAGAGAGAAAATATTTAGAGAGAGAGAGAGAGAGAGAGAGAGAGAGTGGTAGCGGAAGTATGCAGCTGGAACGAGGGAAGTGTGTCCACGAAATTCATCTGTTTCTCTCTAAAGTAGGGTTTATTTTTGCCACGCTTATTTATTTAGGAAAATTATGGTAAAGGTAAAATATCTCCTATTTTTAACTCTCCATTCTTTTTTTTCTTACAACCCCGTCCATCGATTAGATCATAAATTTTTTACTCAAACAAATATTAAAATAGCGCTTTATTCAAATTTTATCACTCTCTAAACTTCATCTCTCTCTTCACTTCTAAGTGAGTTTACCAACCTAGATGTTTAGTTTGAGCTCGAACACGGGCACAACTTCTTATTTGTGTGAGGGAGGGATGGAATTTAAAAAAAAAAAAACCGAGTTTAGATTTTAGAGAAAGAACGAGTTTTAGAGAGAGATGAAATTTGAGTTTCAAGAAAAAAGATAGAGTTTTGATAGAAAAACTATAATGTCGGAGAGATATGGAGTTTGGGTTTTGGAGAGATAAAGTTTTGAGAGAGGTAGAATCCTTTTATAAGTTGTTGATGTTAATAATATACGGTCAAAAAGGTTTTAAGGGTTGAAAGATAGAAAATATAATTCTTTTGCTTATCAGTAATATTTTTAATTTTTGAATATGATGAGATATAGAAATTAAAAATAAAAAATAATAGGGTTTTTTTTTTTGTAATTAAAAAAAATAAATGTTAATTTTCATAAACATGGTCCATATTTTTTTTTTCTTTAATTTTGACATTTTTTTATTAAAATATCATTCACGATAGTTACATTACCATAAAGACAGTAGTCGTACCACCATAAAAGCTCTATCATTACAATACTTTACGTAATGTAACGCTAGTTTGGTAAAAAAATATCAAAATTAAAAATATATATATAAAAATAAAAATTATGAAAATTAAAAGTTTTTTAAAAAATTAAAGTATAGTTGTGATAATTTCTCATTTACTTATCATCTCTCTCTCGTTTTATCTTCATAAATTCTCTCTCTAAACTCTTTCTCTCTAAGTTGAGCTTAACAAGTTGTAATTGATAAATTTTTATAATAACAAGTTGTAATTATTTATTGGGAGAAATACAAAACCGTACACCAATGGTGCATGGCATATAATACACGATGGTGATATTATTGTCCCTTCTAGATGATTAACGGTAGAGATTAACCGGAATTCCTCATGTATCGCGTACAATTTGTCTCCACCGTCGATCATGAATATTGGATAAATCATGGAAAAAATCTCACATTTTTTAAATCCATTAAGAACTCCAATTTTTTCAAAATATCTTCAAAAAATCTCATTTTTTAATTGAACAAATATATCAGTATTTTATCTTTTTTAAAAAAATACTTAAAAACCTTTATTTCTTCATAAACATGATGTCATTGTATTTGGTTTAAAGACAAGCACATTAATGGTAGGCGCAAATCAATAATCTTGATTTAAGAAAGCATTCCATCAAAATTTTCACCAATAAGTTCCCTCAAAGAATTGTACGAAAAAATACAAGCAATATATTCTTTAAAAAATAAAAAATCAAAATAATTAAATATCTCAAAATAACAAGTACAGTTAGAAGAAGAGTAACCCAATGAAATATCTTTTTCTTTTTTAAAAAAGTCCAAAGCGTGCTTACAAAAAGCAAGGGAGAGATTCAATGATACTAAATATTTAGACAACTAGGATTTTAGTGTGAAATTCGAATTCACTTAAACACTTTGTTGGTTTCTTTATGCATAAAGAAGTTAGATTAATTCTATATTTTTCTTTTCTTCATTTTATTGGTGTATACAACATTATATTTTGGATGGGCTATTATTTTACATATTTAGATATTTGAATTTTGTTCAAGTTAAGTGCAATCCTATGTTGACGGCCTTTTTCTTTCTTCTATGAACAAGTTCTTGTTATTTACTAATGTAGTCCTTATGTTTAGTATTATCCTCATTGTTTCATTTTAAGCTCGTAATAAATATATGATATGTTTTGTGTTTTGACAATATAGTGAGCATTATTATTGGATTCATTCATTACTCTAATAACACTAGGTGAGGCTATAAAATTATTGTTCAATAGCTTTAATGTATCTATATAATAATTGCAAATCATAATCCTATAATATATCGAGCTTACATATCCGATTTTTTCACTTGGTTTTTCGAGATAAATAAAAAATACTCACAATTCTATAATTTATCTCATTTTTTTGGCGATCCAAATTTTTTACCTAATTTATTCCTCAAACTTTTTGAAATAAAACTTATTTACTACCGCTATTTTAGTTTGCCGATATATAATTAGCCCCCAACTTGCTAGCTATGATTTGAACATTGAAAAAATAACACGGGGCTAAACATCATTTCCTATTAACTTAGAGGAGGCTTACGGGCTTTCTATAGACCTAGAGGTTATTTAGTATTACGATTTGGAGGTACATGTCTTCTGCCCCTTGGAAAAACAAGGGAAGTCTTAATACTTAACCCATTTAATTTCGAAATAGCTATTAAAAAAGAGAACAGTTTATATGAGGTTGCAACCTTAAAATGTATAAGTACAGATGCAGCTAAAAAATCCATTGGAAAAAGTTGTTTTAATGTTGAAAAAACATCTAATTGATCATCTCGATATCGAGATATTTGAATATGAAAGAAAAAAAAGATTTTGAGTACCAAAAATAGTGCATCTTGCAATACATTATCTAGGCCGCCTATTTTAAAGACTTTCATATGTTTATAGATATGCTTGATTTTAAACCATTTTTGGAGTTTAAAATTTTATAATTACAAATGAAAATAAATTTTGAGATAATTCTAATAAAATTTTCACCAAAATTATTGATTATCATAAAATTTGGAGGTGCGCGCCTTAATTGGATTGTTTAAGGTTGCAACCTTATAGAAACTAAAAAAAAGGCAAAAGTTTATATAGAGCCGAGGCTCTAAACAATCAATTTTGATCTTGCCTCAAATATTTCCCTAGAAGATGTTGTTTTGATGCCCAAATATCTTCAAATTGATCATCTCGACATCAAGATACATGGACAAGAGAAAAAAATGGATTTCAAGTTTTCGAAATAGTATATTTTGTGACGTATTTTTTGATCATCGATTTTCAAGTTTTCATAGATCTGTCAATTTACACTATGTTTTAAGCTTTAAACTTTATAAATAAAAATGAAAATATATTTGAAGTCTATCACAAAGTTTCCCGTATTAAAACCAGATTTCTCAACACTTTTTGAAAGTAAGCTCTAATTTGATTCTTTAGAGCCTAGGCTCTATACAAACCACACCCTTAAAAATATAGGAGGAGATGTTAACGGGCAAAATGCTAAATACTTTCATCTCACATGGATATTTCAATAAATTCTTCCCCACAAAAACGGTGAAGGAAGAGCTTATTGTGTGTCCAATGACATGAATCCAACTTAATTTTTATGATATTAGGATACAAAACACATCCTAAATCGCTGTAAATATGTTTCTGCCATGCTTTTGTGGATTTAAAAATGGTATTTATTTAATAACTTTTAGAAAAAGTAAAACAAACGACAAACAAATTATTTTTTAGAATGTATATAAAAGTTTTTTAGGGAGGAAGGAATGGATATGAATTAGGGTTCTAAAAGTTACATATCCAGATTGAAATAAGGGGGGCAATATCTTACATTATCATGAATCATATTAGTTTAAACAAAGTTGTTAGTTTTGTTAGAGAAGAGAGTGATTGAAATAAAAAATATCAAGCTCAAATGGAATCAATATAGGAAAAATTGAATTTGAACGGTTAATCAGATATGTAGTCGGAAGCAGTTTAACCAGCCTATCAGGACAAGTCTTCGGCAATCAAAAAAGTGTTAAAAAAAAGTAAAAACAAATCCAAACAAAACTTAATAAAATATATTGTAAGCATGATTAAACAAATCACTTCCAAATAAATATGAAAAATAATGAAAAAATGGATTTTAAATAATTGATTTGTGTTCAAGGATATTTTTGAAATTTTATTAAAATATAGGAAAATATAAAAATAAGTATTAATGGGCAACACAATTTCAAATATTTGTCAAAACATTAAAAAATACATTACGAACAAATTTTTTCTCATTTTTTGGGATTGTTATATATTTTTTGAATTTTTTAAAGTGCTCGGCCGGTTCACGAAAATCATCTAAAAATTTTTCTTATTTTTGAGATTTTTATATAATATTATTTCCAAACCCGCATTTCTACATGTGCGGGCTTGGCCGCATGCTAACCGCGTCCTACGCAAAATCAGCCAAGATAAAACCAGACAACCTAAAGCCCCACACAATATTGGAAACTCAAAAGTTCAAATTATACTCCTCTCATTTGTTCAAAGACAGTTGGATCCAACAGGTGCCCATGCTTTGGTAGCAGTGTTTAAAAAAACGCCGAGTCGAACTCGGAAATCGCCATGGACGGGTTGAATCGGCGAAAAAAACGGGAATCGTTCGGTTCTAGAGAGAACTGGACGATTCTGTACAGTGACTCGCAGATTTACTGTACGGAATCGGCGAGTCCGTACAGTGAATCGGCGAGTCTCGTAAAGAACTTTTTTTTTTTTTTTGTAATCCATGATAGATTTTTTTGTAATACTTGATCGATTTTTTTGTAATCCATGATCGAATTGTTTTTTTTTTTTTGTAATCCATGATCAAATTTTTTGTTTTTTTTTTTTTGTAACCCATGATAGAATTTTTTGTAATCCATGATCGAATTTTTTGTAATCCATGATCGAAATGTTTGTTTTTTTTCTTGTAATCCATGATCGAATTTTTTGTTT